TTGTACATAAACTCCACATTGTGATTTTACACTTGTTCAAGTCCATATGTAAAAAAAATACACGTAAATAAAACATTTCTTGCAAATCGACTTGGTCACTTTATCTTGTTTACCAACGATATACAAAATATTGCTTTTATTATCTTTATTCCCCGACAAATATGTTTCTAATTATAATTTATTTTATATAATATTTAGAAAACTCATTTTTTTCGTTTCTATTTATTTCTTTACCCATGCAGTAACTATTTATAAGCTATACAGGCAAGTTTTAATAATAGTCTGTTTCAAATTTCCCGCGAAAAAATTACGAAAATTTAAAGGGACAAGCGAGACGAGGTCACCCTCCCCACCACTCAAACATGAAAGGTACCGCGCGAACTGTCGTCTCTTGTCTTATCTACTCTTTGACTGAGTTGAATTTGTTCTCTCTATTTTTGTTTACATTTCGATTTGAGGTAATGAATGAAGCTTTACTATACCGGGTGCGCCTCAAAAGTGGCTCACCCCTCTAACTTTTATTTTTCAAGAAAAAAAACAGATTTGGTATGTTAGTATATGATATAAAGTAGGATTGATTGACGTATTCAATTGTTTTTGGTCACTTCCTGTTTCACCGGAAATGATGACAACTTTTGATTTTTAAATCGCACCTTCGGTATATTTCTACTTTATTCGATAGGAAATGGGAGACTCTGAATAGAGTGACATATCATATGTTAACTTTTGACATTTTCTGATCGTATTTTAAATTTCAATCTAGAGTACCATGGCTGTGTTAAAAACACTAACTTTTAATCAAGGAGCCTTAGAAAAATAGATTTGATCCTCGAATGTTTTTCGTGTTTTATCCTGACCGCTTAAAAGATGCCTAAATCGTATTTTTAATCATATCTCAATATTTTCAAACGGAACAAGGGTGGCTCATTAGCATATTTGGAAAAAACATTTTTATACGAATAATTTGGTACCACACACTTGGTATTTCGAGTCAAATTGTCATTTTGAACTGCATGTTACAATTTCAAATAAACCATATGAGAAAATGTCAAAAGTTGACGTATGATATGTCATTTTATTCAGAGTATCATTTTCTATCGAATAAAGTAGAAATATACCGAGGGTACCATTTAAAAATCAAAAGCTGTAGTCATTTCCGGTGAAACAGGAAGTGACCAAAAACAATTGAATACGTCAATCATTCCTAATTTATGTTATATACGAAAATATAATTCTAATTCTCGTTTTCTTAACTAAAAAAAAATAAAAAAGTTACAGGGGTGAGCCCCTTTTGTTACGCACCCGGTATAGTGGTTCTTGAATTATCTATCACTGAACAAATTTTAGTTATTCTAATGTAAATTTTTAATAAAGATTTTTTGAAATAAAATAATCAAGTCAATCAAAAGAAAAAAATCGAATTTATGGTTTCTTACAATTTGCGCCTTACGTGCAATTAGAAATAATTATAAAATACCTTGTCTACTTGTGTTTAGCGGTAATAATCAAAGGTAATTAAATCAAACCCCATAGAGTGAGTCAATTAAGTTAGTGTGTTACGCTCTGAGGCGCGATATGCGTATTAATGCAATGAAAGAAGTAGACAGAATGTGAAAAATAAAAGTTCTTAAGTAATTGTTTAGTAATAAATTACTTTCAATGTGATTAATTTAAAACTGTTTCATTGATAGAACGTCTTGGCGATAAAGTTATAGTAGTACTATATTATTTACAGATAGGGGAATTTCTGTAATATTGTGACACTGATAAACATAAGTGCTTCATCATTCCAAAATTTTAAGTAAACGTATTATTAACTATAAAGCTTCATTCAGAACGTCGAAATTAGTGGAATAAATTAGTGGTTTCAATTAGCCTAGAAGTTTGTTCCTTTAATTTCAAATATTCAGAATGTCAAAATTAGTGGTTGCCATTTTCAATTAGTAGAAAAAGTTAACAAACCTTCAACTTTTCCACTAATTATGCTTCAAAATTCGCGAGACATCATTTTGGCCTTTGATTATTATCGGCCAAAAGAAATGGTGGTGAGAAATTAAAATTTGATTGTTTTATAAGCTAAACTAGCGTGTACCAGCGACTTCGTTCGCGTCGAATTAATCATTTGTAATGGTGATGATAAAGCAAAGCAAGAATTTCCATTAACATACAAACTGGAAAAAATTTTCTCACATTTATGTCAGCATGAGAAAAAATAATATGGCGATATTATTATATAACTTGGTAATATTTGAGGGCTAGTTTCATCTCGTTGGAATTTGACTTTCGAAAAATCCGTTTGCCATAAATAAGCTTTTTACGTCAAGCAGTTTAAGCAGAATCGTGGTTAAGAAATTACCCAACTGTTTGGAACACCCTGTATGATTTTTTAAAAAATTTCCAAATATGTAAAAAACCAAATAAATTATGCTTGTCCAAGCGTTTCCCCGAAAGACTAACCGTTTTTTAAATAACAAATATTGTAATATTTTCACCCTCTTGGAATTTGAGATTCGAGAAACCCCTCCTTATTGAACCTCTGCACCCCACAGTCAATCCGTTTGCCAAAAATCAGCTTTGAACGTCAAGCAGTTTAAGCAGAATCGTGATTACTCAATGGTCATATTTTATGAAACACCCTGTATAAATTTATAAAAAATCTAAAAATATGTAAAACAACAAAATAAAATATACGCGTTTAAGAGTTTTTTCGAAAAACTCACCGGTTTTTAAATAAAAAATATTTTAATATTTGAGGGATAGTTTCACCCCCTTAGAATTCGAATTTCGAAAAATCCCTTCTTATCCAACCCCTACACCTTAAAGTCAATCTGTTTTCCAAAAATCAGCTTTTTACGTCAAGCGCTTTAAGCAGGATCGTGATTAATCAATGACCAGATTTCTCGAAACACCCTGTATACATTTTTAAAAATCTTAAAATATGTAAAAAAAGAAAATAAAATATACGTGTTTAAGCGTTTTTTCGGAAACTTGACCGTTTTTTAAATAAAAATATTGTAATATTTGAGGGGTGGTTTCACCCTCTTGGAACTGGAATTTCGAAAAATCCCTTCTTATTGAACTTCTACACCCTAGAATCAACCTGTATGCCAAAATTGAGCTTCTTACGTTGAGTGGTTTGAGCAGGATCGCGTGATTAATCAGTATGTCAGTCCCTTAGGATTTTATATATTAGTATAGAAGATAGGCTTGGATACAACTGACTACCGCAAGCTTTTGCTAGGATATTCTATTAATTTTAATTGTTTTTTAGACAATGTGAATGATCGTAAACTAAAAAGTATAAAGTGTAATTGTAACCACTAATTTATTCAACTAATTGCGAGGTTCTGAATGAAACTTTACTATTTACTTTTGCCAAAAACGTTTAACGTTTACGTTTACCAAAAAAAAATGTATATATATTTTTTCAGATAATTTTTTTAAAAGCCTATAAATTTTGAAACCCATTCTGTAGAAAATCACCAATCTCTGTTTTGATTTTATCATTTTTAAACATATTTTTCGATAGAGTGTAAAATTTTGAAATCTGAATGAGCATTATTATCGTATTATTTTGGTTTAGATTTAAATGGAGCTTAAAATGAAAAACATAGATTTTTTGAAACGAAATATTTGTGGAATTTAGTTCATAATATTATTAATAATACATTGTTATTAATTACACTTTGATATACCGGGTGGCGTCTCAAAAGTGGCTCACCCCCTATAACTTTTTTATTTTTTCAGATAAAACAACGATATTTGGTATGTTAGTATATGACATAAATTGGGATTGATTGACGTATTCAATTGTTTTCGGTCACTTCCGGTTTCACCGGAAATGACTACAACTTTTGATTTTTAAATGGCACTCGCGGTATTTTTTACTTTATTCGATAGAAAATGACACTCTGAATCGAATGACATATCATATGTCAACTTTTGACATTTTGGCATTTGATTTATTTGAAATTGTAACATGCGATTCACAACGACAATTTGACTCAAAATACGAAGTGTGTGGTATCAAATTATTCGTAAAAAAATGCTTTTTCCAAATATGCTAATGAGCCACTCTCATTCCATTTGAAAAAATTGAGATATGATTAAAAATACGATTTGGGTATCTTTTAACCGGCTAGGACAAGACACTAAAAATATTAGACGATCAAATCTATTTTTCCAAGGCTCCTAGATTAAAAATTAGTGTTTTTAACACAGTCATGGCGCTCTAAATTGAAATTTAAAATAGAATTTGTTTTTGAGTGACTATCTCAAAAATTGACATATGATATGTCATTCGATTCAGAGTGTCATTTTCTATCGAATAAAGTAAAAAAATACCGAGGGTGCCATTTAAAAATCAAAAGTTGTAGTCGTTTCGTTGTAGTCTTTGAATAAGAAGACTAAGGAAGGAGCATAATGCTATCCATGTATTCATGCATGGTGGGCGGAAAAAGGACTCTAGGATGGGTATCCTTGACAGTTCTGTTTGACGATTCATTTGACACATTTGAATTTGTTTTGAAATTTTGTGGATTTGTCAGTCTTTACAGAGCTTATTTTATGTTATTTATTATTTATTCTACTACTGATAGTTGTATAAAGGTAGTAAATCTAGATGGAAATTGTGGCAGAACTTAAATTAACAGTGATACCATCGCGATTTATCGAAAAAGACTCTAAAATAGTTGGTTGTGTAGCGTGCGGTAGATCTCGGCAAAAATCGAGTGAAATAATGGAACAACTTTTCGCTAATAAGTTACTATATAATATACATACGTGTATTTGTAATATACATATTGCATTTTTACTTTTATTTACTACTTGTCAAAGATTAGATGTCAAAGAATTTAGATACGTCAACTTTACTTACCTGCTTCAGTAGCGTATCGGATGTTTGTGTTAATTAATAATTATTAAAACTTATCTATTTTTATTATAACAATATGTTTTTATAACAATTTTAATAACTACCAACATTTATTCACAACGTAAAATAAAAATAAAAATTATTGAGTCTACCTCACGTCTACCCTACATCATAGTTTTACATTTTTTAAATAAAATTAGAACGGCACTGATAAACAAAAGATTTTTGATATGCTCCTTCCTTAGTCTTCTTATTCAAAGGTTGTAGTCGTCGGAAGTGGTGACCGAAAACAATTAAATATGTCATATATACTAACATACCAAATCTCGTTGTTTTATCTGAAAAAATAAAAAAGTTATAGGGGGTGAGCCGCTTTTGAGACGCACCCGGTATTGGTTTGTCGTTCATATTTCATAATTTACAGGTAAATTGTATTTTCTGTAATTTTTTTTGTGGATCTATATTATATAGGGTGTTAAAAGTGGCTCACCCCCTATAACTTTTTTATTTTTTCAGATAAAAAACGAGATTTGGTATTTTAGTATGACATAAATCAGGGTTGATTGACGTATTCAATTAGTTTCGGTCACTTCCTGTTTGACCGGAAATGACTACAAGTTTTGACAAAACAAAATGACATTTTTTTCATTTGACATTTTCCCTTAAATAAATAGTATTTTCAATCTCAAGCTATAGAGCCACGACAATTTTACTCGAAATTTCCAGCAAGTATGTGGTATCAAATTATTCGTAAAAAAATACTTTTTCCAAATATGCCAATGAGCCATCCTCGTTCCATTTGAAAAGAATGAGTTATGATTAAAATTACGATTTGGGCATTTTTTAACCGGCCAGGAAAAGACACGAAAAACACTAGACGATCAAATCTATTTTTCCAAGACACCTTGATTAAAAATTAGTAGTTTTAACCAGGGTTGGCATGATTTAAATCAAATGATTGAAATCATGATTTAAATCGTGATTTAAATCAAGTGATTTTTTTAATTTTAATCATTGATTTAAATAAAAAAAAATAATTTTATTAAAACTTTATTATAAATTAAAAAATAACTGTAGAAGTTATGAAAATGTGTCCTAGAAAACTATAAAAAATATTTCTATAAAAGATATAACAGATAACAAATCGAAAAGTAATTGTAAATGTTATAAAACTATATAAAAATATCTATTCATCAATTTAAATGTTGGACCGATTTTTGAAGTAATTTCGTGTTCCATTAGACCGCTAAACGCAGGGATTTATTTTAAAATTTATGTATAAGTGACAAAAATTCGCTGTTCGAATACATATCATTCGCAGTCTAGTGCAGAACTAGGTTCTTCTGGTATATAGATTATATCTTCATTCCCGAGAATCTATAATAATAGTTGTCAGGCAATATGTTGTTTTATATTTTTTTGAAATGGTTGTATTTTTCCAAATTCTTACCGACATTTTGATCTGCAGTAAGTATTTTACACTTTGACATTAGATAATACTAATTTCATTCTCGACTTAGTAGAGTATTGTTTTATTAGGAGTAAAAATTATACTTTTTTTGATGATGCTGTACGTTTGAAGGACCATCGTAAAGCTATTCCGACGTTACAAGGAAGCACAAAAAGTACATTTTTACTGCTAATAGAATATGCATACTATTTTTTTAAAACATTACAAATCATTTTTAATCAATTTCAAACATTGCAAATAATATAAACAGCAATCGAGCAAGAGTTTGTACACTCGTTGAATTTGACACTTAATATCAGTTTAATAATATATTTTTGTACTTTTGTGCTTGGGCTTAACAGTGCTTTACTTTTATACCTGAGGGTATAAAAACCAAACCAAACCAAACCAAAAATTAATACTTTTGAGACGTTTGAAAAAAAATCCTTTTGATCTGAAGCGAGCGACTTTTTTGCGAAATATATTGGTGACCGATGTGGAAAAATGACAAAACGCACCCTAGAATTATTAATGTTATCGATAACGGGCAGAGTTATAAAGATTTAGCCATTTAGGATAGGACTTTAATTGGAAATAAGTCCTAGTCATTTGGAAATCCGATTTAAATATTGTTTTGAATTAAAATCAAAAAAATCTGATTTGAATCAAATAAATCTGATTTTTTGTTTTTTTTTAAAAATCATGATTTTTTCCAACCCTGGATTCTCTAGACTGAAACTTAATAATATTTTCGAATTGTGATCTTCATGTGTGCAACAAAAAATTATTTCTATAATGCATTTTTTTTCAAAAAATGATACTATAAGTGATATTTAGATACTTTAATAACACAAAAAAGACTTATATAGTTAAAACTTACTGGTATAGTAGTAAAATATTGCGTCCAATACACTAGTGTCCCTGATTTCACAAAAAAAAAACACCATCAACCGTATTTGAACACCCACAATTCGTTTTTGATTAATGTTAGAACTTAATTTTCAAAAAAATTAACTAATTTTCTGAACAATTTTCGATATATACATTTAATAATAATAAAAAAACGCGATATTTTATTTTAATAATTTTAAAATTTATTTTACAAATGCAAGAGAAAAATTGGGAGCCTCGGTATAATCTTAGATGCGATTCAATGCGATCCGCGGTTAGTTTGAAACTAACCTTCTTGCCGCCTTTATAATTAGACTCATACAACCGTGAGAGAGACAGAGAGGGAAGATACGGTCTGTCTGTCTTTGTCTCGTGTCTTGCTAGACAGGCCGGCGACAATTGGCGGAAAATGACTGCGACTTGAACGAGGTGTAAAAATTGTTATGATTCTTTTACCCCCGACGGCTACACCGAATTATTTCCCTTTAGTCGCTACAGAGTTAGAGTTACCTCTATTATTTTACATAATTCAATAGAAAATAAAATGTTTTTATATATAAATATATTAAATAAAATATACAGGGCGCCTTCTCTTCTCCTCACCGAAAAATAAGATTTATTTTTCGTATATTAACATAGGCCCCATTCTGCTTTGTTTCGTAGCTACAGCAAGTTAGTCTTCATTTTTTTTTCGAATTACTATAATTTTCTTCCAAGTGCTTTTAGCGATTCTAATGAAATTTTACCAATGAATCAAACCAAACCATACCTTTCTATTGTTAATCTAAGCATATACCAGTGATCCCTTATCGATAACCATAACCATAACCCACTTTTTTAGTAAACTAACAGTAACTTTTACCCTCAAAATTTCATTCGAATCGCTAGAAACACTTGGAAGAAAATTATAACAAATCGAAAAAAAAATGAAGAATCGGACCTATGTTGATATGAGGAATCTCCTCACGAGAAATGGCACATGTTTTTTGAAACATCCTGTATAGTAGAAATTTCTTAATAGACAATGAAAAAAATATTACTTAAAAATCAATTTAAAATTTTTCCTGAAAAATATTTTTTTTACATTACTAGAAAATGAGTATTTTCAAATAAACCTTTTTGTTGATATATTTTCAATTTTATTTGCTTTAGAAAATGTATTTTTATAATAAAAAAAGCATAAAAAATTTAAAATAATGCCTACCTTTAAAAAATATTTTTTATAACTAACCGATTTAGCTAACAGGGAGACACAATAGATAGTTATATTATATTCTATATTAGCACACACTAGCGTACAGTCTTAGCAACACTTGTCTAGCTACAGGTAAGACAGATTTGGGATAAGTAAGATATTTGCTAAAATAGAGTCAAACTTTATAGTGTATTGCTTATGCAGGGCCGTACTCAGGAGAGCTTTCATTACGAGGCGTTTTTTAAAATTTCGATTTCGGGTAGTATCTTCTGTAGTATCTATTTAGAACATTTTTTTTATATTTAAAAAATATATTCAAATTTTAATTGTATTTTTTTTATAATTACTTTTTGTATTCTTGAATTTCTATTTAATTCGACATTTTAAATAGTTTTTCTTTTTGTTCTTGACGAAAGGGAGATACCTATACCTCCTGTAAACTTTAAGATTTTTTTTGGTTGTTAAGCATTGTGGTTTGCATCATATATTAATGCAACAAAAGTTTTTTTTAATACAGTCTCATATAAATAAATGTATTGCTCAAGTATCTGTTGAGGTTAGTAATGTAACGCTATCGCTTCTTTGATTTTAATGAACATAACATAAGTAAAATCAAATAAAAAAAATTGAGGCTTTTTGGTTCTACCTTATTTAGTAATTATTGTTATCAGGTAATTGTTAATTTTGAAGTTTAACTTGAAATAATGTCATTTTAACAGAATTCCAACGGTTTTTTTCTTTGAATAAGAAGACTAAGGAAGGAGCATATCAAAAATCTTAGGTCCACCGCGATGAGCCTCAAATATGGCCGACTTAAATTCCGGTTTATCAATGCCGTTCTAATTTTTACATTTAAAAAATGTAAAACTATGATGTCGGGTACACGTGGGGTAGACTCAATATTTTTTTTTTTATTTTACGTTGTGAATAAATGTTGGTAGTTATTAAAATTGTTGTAAAAATATAAAATTGTAATAAAAATAGATAAGTTATAATAATTATTCATAACCAAAAACATCCGATACGCTACTGAAGCAGGGAAGTCAAATTGACGTATCTAAATTCTTTGACATCTAATCTTTGACAAGTAGTAAACAGGGGCCGGAAAGTGAAATAGCAAAAGCGGTTCCACCGTTTCCACGGAAATTTCAAATAAAATAGTTCCAGCCTCGGGCGCTAGGTGGTAGTGCAATTAATTTTTAGGTTAAAAAATTGCTACTAGTTATTGCCAGATGGCGTTCAATCAGATTTTTTTTGTAGTTTCCATAGTTTCCAACGGCCATTGTCATATTATTGTCAAATTCTCAAAAAATATTGTCGTTGTCATAGCGCCAATCATAATATTATCAAAAATAATTATCAAAACCATCAAAACGTTTTTCAAACTAATTTGTTATATATGTTTTTATTAGACAATTCATTTTGTTTGTGGCCTAAAAAATATAATGTAAGTCATTTATTTTTGCTATCATTTAATTACCTATTTATATTTACTCCATTTACAAAATTTTGGGCGTATTACGTTGGTCTTGTTTATTATAATAAACGATGTTTAAATATTTGATTTATAATTAAAATCTTAAATAATAAATAATATTTACACATGTTTGGCTTTAATTTTATTTAATAATTGTATAAATTATACTGTTAAATCTTATTTTTTACACATCACAACGATACTTGTTATTAGTATTGTTGAATTTGTGTAAAAAATAAGATTTAATAATCAAATTTAATTATATATTTTAGAGTAGAATTCACTAAATACGCTCATTTAAAAAGCCCGCGCTTCGATCTATTTAAAACAAGCCCTACTCAATAGATGGCGCCACTTCTGTAGGACCATTTTTCAGTATGGCAGAGTCCATTCTTTTTCTAGCTAGGTATATTCTTTGGTAGTAAATAAAAGCAAAAATGCAAGAAAAAATATATAATTAGTTAATTTAAGTGAATTTCATAAATGATCAGTTTACTACACGTATGTATATTATATAGTCACTTACTAGCGAAAAGTTGTTCCATTATTTCACTCGATTTTTGCCGAGATCTACAGCACGCTACACAACCAACTATTTTAGAGTCTTTTTCGATAAATCGTGATAGTGTCACTGTTAATTTAAGTTCTACCACAATTTCCATCTAGATTTACTATCTTTATACAACTATCAGTAGTAGAATAAATAATAAATAACATAAAATAAGCTCCGTAAAGACAAATCCCCAAAATTTCAAATCAAATTCAAATGTGTCAAATGAATCGTCAAACAGAACTGTCAAGGATCCCCTCCCTAGAGTCCTTTTTCCGCCCACCATGCATGAATACATGGATAGCATTATGCTCCTTCCTTAGTCTTCTTATTCAAAGGTTTTTTTAGACGTATCTGTTTAAAAAGTCTAAAATGTTCTTGAATATTTTATTTTGTAGATTTTTTGGTGAAGAGGTGAATCCTCCACAGAGGTATAGACATTTTCTACTATATTTATTTGTATTTTTTGAGATTAATTATGAACTAATACACCTGATTGAGCTTCTTACGAATATATCACCCTTAGGGTGAGCCAAAAAAACTAACCTATGGAATTTACGGGTTAAAATGAACCTAATAAAACCGAGAAAAAAATATCCCCGGGCTCAGGATTTTTAGCTCAGTTTTAAAAGGTGTCGGTGAACATTCAAAGTTTTTCATTTATATAACACGTAAAAATATCTTTTTCCATTAAAAGGTCCATAACTTTGAAACGGTTTACGATAAAAAAGGTTTTTTTTGGCTCACCCTAATCACCCTATATTATTTCTAGAACAGAATATGCGTAAAAAAAAACAAGATTCTGTTGTTAAAATCAAAATACGTATCTGTCGTGTATTTCCATACTTCGTAGAAAATTGGTCCAAAATTTTGATTTATTCTGTCGCGATGTTTTAAATTTTAAATTCCCCATCGTCTGAGTCTACATCGAAAAAAAATCGGTGAGAAGAACCTTCAAAATAAAGTTAATAAACTGCGAAGCAATGCGGGCGCTTCGTTTTTTTTACCTTACATGAACCCCAACAGAAAAATTATAATTATATTACTGTTTCTTGGTTTTTACTTGGCTAAAATATCTATTCCAAATATTTGAAAAAAATCGAAAAAAAAAAATGTAAAAACTACTGGAGTTTAGATATTTATTTCAGAATTTGCGTGAAATGTATGTTTAACTGCATTTTTAACGTAATTTCATCATCTATACACCTATTTAACATTATTTTATACAAAATATTATTGCACAACGTTATGAATAAAATTTCAATTTTCTAAGAAAATGTACTACTTTGAATAAGATAGTGCTTGCTTATTCATGAAAGAATCTTAAGGTGAAGGTACCATTTATTATGTGTACCTAATTTAAATGGGTAATTTATGGTAGGCTATTAAGATCGGCAAAAAAATGTTTTTTAATTTCACTCAAAATGAATTATTTGGGTCATAAATGACCTAAATACAAAATATTTTCATGGTTCAAATCTGTAACACGATAACTCAAAAACCACTGAACCGATTTTAACCAAATTTGGCACAAAAATACCGTGGCACCCGAGAATCTGGCCATTAGTTTTTGGTGGGGGTGGGGGATTGGTAAGGGGGTATGGGAGGGGGTTAAAAATTTTAAAAAATCGTAACTCCAAAATTACAGTAGCTAGCGAAACGCGGTTTTCAATTTAAGATTAGGAATAATATTTGCAACAAAATTTGTAATAACATCAAAATCGGTCAAAGTCGCAGTTTTTGAGATAAAAAAAATATGAAATATTCTTAATATTCTTTAAAAAAATATAACTCAGAAACAAAACAGCTAGCAAAACGCGGTTTTCACTTTTATGTACGGAAATATATTTTAAAAAACTTATAAAATGAAAAAAAATGAAATAGGAAAAAAATAAAAAGATTTCCTCCCAGCAGTTATGTTAGTTTTTAATTACTTAGTTTAAGTTAAGTAAAAAAAGTTTTAATTTCAATTTCTACTTATCTAAAAAAGTGAATAAAAATTTAAAAAAAATATAAAAAATCTTAAAAAATATATAAAACTTATTTAAAAAAAAATCCGTGTGGAACACTCCAAACCAGTGTTGCCAGTATTTTT